GTGCCCTTGGAGGCCAGAAGAGGGCGATGGATCCTCTGGAACTGGAAATACTGTTGATTGTAAGCTGCCCCGTGGATGCTGGGAACGGAACCTGGGTCCTCTGGAGGAGCAGCCAGTGCTCTTAACTGCTGAGCCATCTCTCCAGCCCCACCTCTTTTATTTTCATCAGGAATCCTTTTTCTTAGTCTGTTTAGAAGTTTGTCTTGTTTGGTTTATCTTTTCAGAGAACCAACTTTGATTTTTTTTGATGATGTAACTCTAATTTTTGTTTTGATTCCTAAATAACTGCTTTTATATCTTTATTTTAGGGCAGTGGTTCTCAACCTCCTCCTCCTCCTCCTCCTCCTCCTCCTCCTCCTCCTCCTCCTCCTCCTTCTTTTGTTTGTTTTTTCGAGACAGGGTTTCTCTGTGTAGCTCTGGATGTCCTGGAACTCACTCTGTAGACCAGGCTGGCCTCGAACTCAGAACTCTGCCTGCCTCTGCCTCCCAAGTGCTGGGACTAAAGGCGTGCGCCACCACCGCCTGGTGTGGTTCTCAACCTTCCTAACGCTATTACCCTTTATTATAGTTCCTCATGGTGTGACTCCTATGACAGAATTATTTTGCTACCTTATAATCGTAATTTTGCTACTATTATGAATTATAATGTAAATACTTATATGCAGAATATCTGATATGTAACTCCTGTGGGAGTTACGACTCACAGGTTAAGAACCACTGCTTTAGGGGCTATGTTTTCTTTTGGGGTACTTACTAAGCTGGTCTTGAATTCTTTGACCCTCTAGCCCATGGCTTCTGAGAGGTAGGAACTGTAGGCTTGTGTCACTGGCCCTGGCTCAGATTTCTTCCTAATAACTTCAAGTGTTGTTTAGTGATGAGAGTTATTATGAGGAATGTGTGTCTAGCCAATCTTATCACTGTGTAAGCATAGCGTGTGTTTACACAAGCTTGGGTGATATAACAGAGTACATACCTGTACATACCTGTACTCCGTGTTTGAGTCTGGTTTATATTTTTTGTTTTGTTTTTAAACTTATTTTAATTAGTAGCTAGGACTCTGAGATGCACATTATTAGCCTGTCCGTCCACATTCTTGAGATGGTCAGTATTTCTTCTCTCTCCTATATCTCATTCCTTAGGTCTCTGGGGCAGTGGCAGCCTTCCTTTCATGTTACCTCATGATGACAGAAAGGAGTACCTTCTAAAATAACAACACATGAACGCTTTGGCTCGTCCATCCATCTGTTGATGCTTCCTTTGGGTGGACCTCGCCTAGCGCCTCTTGATGCTTTGGACACTGCTACTCTGAGTATTCATATTTATGTGGTTGCTCCTCCACCCCACTCTACCCCCACCCCTGAGAAAGGGTTTTTCTGTGTAACCTTGGATGTCCTGGAACTTGCTCTGTAGACGAGGCTGGAAGATTTCTTTTATTTTTTATTTTTATTTATTTATTTATTTATTTATTTATTTATTTATTTTGAAACAGGGTTTCTCTGTATAGCCCTGGCTGCCCTGGAACTCACTTTGTAGACCAGGCTGGCCTCGAACTCAGAAATCCACCTGCCTCTGTCTCCCAAGTGCTGGGATTCAAGGTGTGTGCCACCACTGCCCAGCTGGAAGATTTATTTTTAATCTTTTTATTAATAATGTATATGTGTGTGTGCACACGTGTGTGTGCACGTGTATGTGCACGTGTGTGTGTGTTTGTGTGTGTGTGTGTGTGTGAATGCATCTCATGTACATGCGGGTGCTAGAGGAGGCCAGAAGATGACATTGGATCTCACACAGCTGAAGTTATAGGCAGGTGCGAGGTGCCTGATGCTGCTGCTGGGTACCGAACTCAGGTCCTCTGCAAAAGCAGCCTATGCCTTGACCCCTGAGCCATCTCCAGCCCTGGCAGACACATTTTCACACGTCAGCCGGCCAAGGGAGCCCTTGTCCTTTTCCTTTGCGGGCAGGTCAGCGTTTCCTGTCTCCAAGCCAAGCAGCCTCGATTCGCTCAGCCGTTTGTTCTTCATGTGACTTTGATTCTCACCTTTCCACCAGCCAGCTTGGTTTCTTTCTGGGCACCTCCAGCGGTGTGGATGTCGCCTTTCAGGCCAAGGGTTCGATTGAGGTCCCTTTACCTGTCAGTATTGGTGTGGCCAGCTACTCTTTTCTGTCTCAGCACGACGCTCTGTTCCAGTGCAAGCCGACGTCCTTTCCCCATTCCATCCATCTTGCTGCCTGTGACCCTCGCTCTAATTTATTGATTAATCTCCACATATACATCTATTCAGTGTGGCCTCGTGTCATCTCCGGTTTGACAGATGAACCAGTTGGAGGGAGCCCAGTGAGGACAGAGCCTTTGAAGGGTGGCTGGAGGGTGGTCTGGGTTCCCATGGGTTCCTGACCATGGTAAGGCCCCCTCGCCGGGCCAGTCCCTGACTCCCATCCTGGCATACGAGGGGAAGCCTCATCACGTGTTCGGGGAAACCTCATCACGTGTTCACGGAAAGCCTCATCACGTGTTCCGGGAAACCTCATCACATGTTCAGGATCTCAGCTGAATGAGGCCCAGGCCGGTGCTTGGCACTGAGCGAGCTGTAGCTGGTTTTCCTCTCAGCCTTAGCCTGAAGCATCCAGGGAGCTTGTCCTTGTGAATCCTGGTTGCTAGCTCTTGCAGTTCCCTGGTCTCTAGCGACACAGGAACCAGCTAAGGATGTGGTTTCTCCGCAGCAGCAACCATCAGATGGTCCATCTCTGTCTTGTTGTGCAAATTCATCTTTGTGGACACCGTAGGTCCCTTAAAGAGCAGTTATGGCAGAGCTTAGTGTCCCGGGACTCAGAACACTCAGAATAACTCAAGCAAAGTGAGTTCCTGTCTTCTTCACATCCTCCTACCTTGGAGTCTAGTCCACAAATACATTGATTCTATTCTTTCCAGAAAAAGAAATGAGCTTCTTGAGAGACCCCCATGGCTGAATGTGATAGGAAGTTTACTTTTCTGTTTATCATAAGGGTGTTATATTTAGTTTGCAAATAATACAAGAGCTTGTCAGAGCAGTAGTCACGCGTTGTTAGTATCATAGGAACATAAATAACAAAGGAGAGAGAGGGAAGAGAAACAGGACCCTGATTTTTCGACCAGGCGTTCTGGCTTTCTAGATGCTCAGAGCCAGCCTTTCGTAGCACTTAGGGAAGCAGCTGGTAAGGGTTTTGCGTCGATAATGAATGTCAGCAGGTTTTCAATACCTCGTGGCCTTTTTGGAACCGCGTGTGATAAAGTTTTCTATTGTGCGTGAAGGTCAGAGACCAGAAACACACAGGACTTGGAAATGCCGCCAGACTATTAGTTACCGGCTCAAGACAGTGCCCTGCCCTATTTAAATTCAAGACAAATGTGGCGGCGATAAAGGAGGAGGGAAAGGTCAAATCTTGGCCTGTATTTTCTGATAGCACTAAAATAGGAAATGAAGGAAATCATAGCCTGTGCCCTGTGGGATAACTAGGTTTGTAGTCAGCACTGTACGCCCCTCCCACCTGCCCTCAGAGCTTGTGCACACGCTAACACCGAGCTGTTCCCCTGTGCTTACTGTCAGGGGAGCTGCCCCTTGTGTGGAAACTGCATGGAGGTGCTACAGGCTCAGCAGTTAAGAGCACTGGCTGCTTTTGCAGGGAACCCACACGGCGGATCACAGCCATCTCCTGTAACTCCAATTCCAGGGGATCTGATGCCCACTTCTGGACTCCGAGGGCACCAGACATGCACATGGGGAGCTAGGACAGATAAGGTGATTCTGTGGAAACAGTTGGGAGTTTTGGAAACACTGGTTACAGGGTTTGCGTTGAGAACCCTGGCCCGCCCTAAAGCACCCAGGAGCAGCATGCACAGAAAGAGAATGTTGGCAGCCCTGCGTGGGGATTCTGTGCTACATCTCAGAGACTTAGCAGTCATCCTCAAGGTGATCGTGAATAAGGGACTGTGCCAAAGCAAAGCAAGGAGCGGGTGGTCTCAGCTGCTGCAGGCGATAAGCAAGGGCCAGGGTTGAGTCCCTCCCAAGGTGGGGGTGCTCAGAAAACCTGCCCACTCAGGCTGAGGAACCTTGCCACTTTCTCCAGGTGGCCTCTACCCCTGAGTGTCCTGTGACACCATTGGTTCTCCATTGGGAAGTGTGTGACAGCCACCTAGAGAAGGCCTGGCCAGCGCTACAGCTGGGTCAGTCCGACGGTCAGACCTACAGGGTGAGGTCGGGAGTTGTGCCACCCAGCGGAAGTACACCCAGTGGAAGTACACCCAGCGGAAGTACACAGTGGATGGTCTTTCTCTCGGTATTTAGAGCAGGAGGGCTCTTTGCTCTCTAAGGTTTGTTCTTCCCTGCCCTCCTCTTCAGGAATGAGAGTTTTCCAGTTTCCCTCCTTTGCCAGCTTCAGAGACAGACATCTGAGAGGGATGCATTCTGTCTCAATCCCAATCTCCTGACTCCTTTTCACACCTCACACCTTAGTTCCCAGGAAGCCATTGCTCTGTGAGGAGTCAGCAGTCACCGCCTGAGGCTGGAGCACAGAGGAAGCTGGGCCCCACCCACCTGATTCAGAGATCCCCTGGTTGCCTGAGATTCGACCTACAAACAGTAGGTGCCCTCTTTGGACTCAGGAGAGAGCCTGTTCCCATCCCAGGGATACTGTAGCTCAGGGTGTGACTCCTTCATCTCTGCTGGAGGCTGTCCTGGGTCAGGACAGATGGAAAGCCAACGCCCAGCGGAATCCTGTGACTCCAGGGCCACCATGTCCTGACCCTTCCCAGCCTCCCACCAAATTCAGAGAGAGATTTCTGATTTTCTCAACCCCTAGTGTCTCCCCGGACTCTTAACGTCTGCCTTCCCCGGACTCCTTGCCCATCACCTTTGGGAACTTCCAGAAAGCGGTGCATGAACTTTTGTTTGCAGTGCTTGAGCTCCAGTGTGGATCAGTACACAGGCTGTGGTGCATGCCTTACCTGCTGCAGCCGGTCTCCAGATCCCGCCCCGTGCAGCACATCAGCCGCAGCGCATTTATGAGATTGAAGAGCCCTCAGAACACTGCAAACGGTGTGGGAAGCTCAGGGGACAGTAAGGGTCACAGACCGTCTTGGGATTTGTCATGCTTTCTGTTCGTGCCTGCCCGACTTTGGTAGGACCAGTCTGATGTTGAGAAAAACAGATTAGCTAGCATCACTGCGCTGGCTTTTGTGCTCCTGGAAAAGCGCGTGTGACCAGAAGGCACTTTGGAGACTTGAGTATAACCTTTTGTGAGAGTCTTGGTGACAGGAGAGCGAGGTTTGGTGACATTTGTTGTTGCCGTTGTGGCTTGGGACAGAACCCAGGACCTTGTCCAATCCCTCCTTTGCCATAGGACACATTCTCACCACAGTGTAAGAGTAAGGGGCTTGTCCAGCTGCACGTGGCCGCACAAGCTTCTGTTTTGTTTGGTTTTTGAGACAGGGTCTCTCTGTGTAGCCAGGCTGTCCTGGAACTCACTCTGTAGACCAGGCTGGCCTCGAACTCAGAGGTCCACCTGCTTCTGCCTCCCAAGTGCTGGGATCAAAGGCGTGCGCCACCAATGTCCAGCTATGACATAAGTTTTTAATCTTAAACTCAGAATCTGGGAGGGAGAAGCAGGCAGAACTGTGTGCTTTCTAGGCCAGCCTGGTCTACATGGTGACTTCTAGGCTAGCCTGGTCTAATAGTGAACTCTGGTCCGAATGCTTTTAAGGCAAGGGTTTAAGCAACCGAGCCGTCTCCCCAGTCTCACTTTTGTAGATTTTCCTCAGCTTCCTCTCTGTCTTGTGCAGCTGGAGCCTAGGAGCCACACGGTAGCTTAATTAAGCTTCTTGCTTCTCACTTCCTGTCTCTGCCCATTAGCGCTGACACGCTGCCTTCCCTCACCTGCAGGGCCAGGCAGGCACTTTCTGCTTCCTCCCTCACCACCCTCCTTTGCGGCCTGGGTGGGAGAAGTCCTGCAGACTCTTTTTATTCCAGCCTCTGTAAGTCTCCAGTGTCCCCTGTGGCTGTCCGTGTTTCCTCACACGAAGAACTCAGTGCAGTGCTTCAGTCCCAGTGAGCCAGACTCTCTACAGAGTCTGTCCACCCCTGGTGACAGGCTTTAAGCCATGAGCCCCTAGAGGGTCAGATCTGGCCCTGCCAAATTTGAACACATTGTCACCTTGTAGGAAACTGGGCCTCTTGTGCTGCAGTGTCCCAAGCCAGTGCTTCTCGTGGATGAAGTGAGAAATATAACCTCCTTTCTCTCCCTGGGCTCTCTGTATCGCTGAAGATGACCTTGAACTCTGGGTGCTTTTATTATAGGACCATGTCTACGTGCCTGCGTGCGTGTGTTTGTGTATTCACACCAGAGGTTGACGTCAGGCGTCTGCTTTAATTGCTTTTCACTTTATATACGGAGGCACAGTGAGTCTCTCATTAAAACCGGAGGTCTCTGATTCAGCCGGTCTGACTAATCTGCAATCCCCAGAGAGCCCTTGTCTGCACCCGCCAGGGCTGGGATTACAGGTGGGCCCTGCTGTACTTCTTATCTGGGTGCTGAGGATCCGAACTCCATTCCTCAAGGCTGTGTGGCAAGTACGTGACCCACTGAGCCGTCTCCCAGCGCCTTCCCTGTGCTGTTTACTAAGAAAACCAAGTGCTTAGCTGTGTAATTTAAGAATGTCTTATAGACTGTATGTTTTTATGTTTATAAATCACGCTAAGTTGGTTGTTTTAATGTGTACAACTGAGTTCGAGGCTAGCCTGGTCTACAGAGTGAGTTCCAGGACAGCCAGGGCTACAACAGAGAAACCCTGTCTTGAAAAACCAAAAAAAAAAAAAAAAAAAAAAAAAAAAGTTTTAAAGTGTACAACTGATTGTAATGTGAAGTGTTTTTTTGAGACAGGGTAGCCCTGGCCATCCTGGAACTTGTACTGTAGACCAGGCTGGCCTCCAACTCAGAGATCTGCCTGCCACTGCCTCCTGAGTGCTGGGATTAAAGATGTTGAGCAGCTGCTGCCCAACTACGTTGTTCTCAGTGAGGCGGGTCCAAGTCACCTCTTGAGGAAACGGGGTAGAATTTGCCTTCTGTGTGGAGGATTTCTGACTATGGCTGTCTGGACACAAACAGCTTGATTTAACCAGGAAGCTGCTAGGGCCATCTAGTGTTTGGAGGGCTAACACTGTACATTTAGACAGTTTCTTTTAAACTGCTTATTTCCATTTTACGAGTGTTTTGCCTGCACGTGTGTAAGTGCACCAGGTGTGTGCCATGTGTGCCCACAGAGGTCAGACAAGTGTGTAGCACTGATCTGCTTGCCCAACTCTGGCTTTTAGTGGGGAGATCACTCTGAATAATTTGAAAACACTTTACAATGAGGGAGCTGATGTACTGACCAAGCCTGTGGCCGGGGATGAACCGAGCAACAAGGCATGAGTTGCCTTTTGCTTCAGCTGGTTTAGTCTCCCTGTCGTTAAAGGTCCAGGTTCTGTTTTACACTTGCCGTGGCTGTCTCTGTATGACCCCTCTCTTCCTTTGTTGAGTGAAAACAATGAAAGGACTCTTCTAAAGGTGTGAGAGTGGGAGCCTGTTAGACGAGTGTTGTACTAGTTGGAGTTTGAGGAATTGCTGATGGGGGGGGGCTCGTAGGCTTGTGCCCACCTGTCCCAAGCCTGGGAGGTGGCCTAAGAAGTCTGTGCCTGCCACCTTCACAGCTGCTTGAGACAGTTGTCTTGCTGCTGGCCCTCAGGTTTATGGTGGTTACCTCAGTAAGGTAGTTCATCGTCCACTCCCAGCACTGCCCAGCATGCTAGCATGCATGAGGCCCTGGATACCAAACCTCCTCTGCAAAAAGAAAGAGAAGGGAAAAAAGGTGCACCCTTCCCTGCACCCCACCCTGTGTGGTTCCACCAGTCAGAGCAGAGTGGCATTGTTACCCCATCCTTCCCTTGACCTCCTGCCTCTTCTGAAATGTTAGTGCTGGCATGGTGGTACGTTCCTTTAATCCCAGCATTCCCTGTGCCGTTCTGGCCACCCTGGAGCTCACTACCAGATCAGATCAGGCTAGCCACAAACCCCCAGCAAGTGCTTCGCTGGAAGGGAGATCTCGCTTTGCTCCGCTTGACCTTGGCGTTGGAGCGGGCACGTTTGTGTTGGCAGCTGCCTGGGAATGTTGGTCCTCACTGTGACGTTACCCTCACTGGGTGCTGCCTCACTACCACACTGCAGGGGCACTGTGAGCAGAGCTCACATGCTTTAGAATGCACATGCAGTTGCCGTTTGTGTTCAACCCACATGTTCTAAGCGCCTAACACCTTGTAGCTTTCCTTCTGCATGGGACGTGAAGGAGTGCCTGTAACACATGGCTCTGAGAAGTTAAGGACCTGTGACACCCAGCTGGCTAGAAGGACCACAAGTCCTGAGCTGAACAGAAGTTATGCATGGAGACAGTACTCAGTCTGAGAGTGTCTTTTCATTTTTATTTATTTTTTATTAAAAATTATTTATTTAATTATTAATTAATTATTAATTAATTAATTATATATATATGAGTACACTGTCACTGTCTTCAGACGCACTAGAAGAGGGCATCAGATCCCACTACAGATGGTGGTATTGAACTCTGGAAAGAGTTGTGCCCTCTGGAAGAGCAGTCAGTGCTCTTAACCACTGAGCCATCCCTCCAGCCCAGTGTCTTTTGTATTTTTACATTTTATGCTTAAGGTTATTATTGGTGTGCATGTGTGCAGGTTCGTGTGAGTACGCACTGTGGTGTGCGTGTGGAAGTCAGAGGATAGATAGCTTGCTGGGGTTGGTTCCCCCTCCACTGCTAGTTCCTGGGCTGAAACTCAGGCTTCCAGGCTTAGCGGCAAGTGCTTCTATCTGCTAACCTATGCTGGTGGCCTGAGAATGTCTCTTCTTTTTTTTTTTTTTTTTTTACTTTTTTTTTTTTAAAGATTTTATTTATTTATTTTATATATATGAAGAATACACTGTAGCTGTCTTCAGACACACCAGAAGAGGGCATCAGATCCCACTACAGATGGTTGTAAGCCACCATGTGGGTGCTGGGAATTGAACTCATGACCTCTGGAAGGGCAGTCGATGCTCTTAACCGCTGAGCCATCTCTCCAGCCCATGTCTCTTCTTTTTAAAGGTTTCTTTTTATTATTTTAAATTGTGTTTGTGTGTGAGTTTGCATGTGGCTATGTGCTGGGACAGAAAATGCTTGGAACCAAACTCAGGTCTCTTGCAAGAGCAGTCCCTGATCCTCATGGCTGAGCCATCTCCAGCCCCGAAGAGTGTGCCTTCTGCATTTCCAGTTTGCGTCTGTGCAGACATCCTCCTGTCACCTTTCTATTGTTGTGGAAAGTCTGTGAGAAAATCACCCTAAATAAGGAAAGGTGTGCTGGCGTAGAGCTTCAGAGGTTACCGTCTGTGTGGGCTCCTTTTTCTGGGCCTTGCTGGGTGTACCACTGCCTGGGGCATGTCCTGGAGACCTCTGATCTTCTAGGGCCGTGGTTTTCAACCTTTCTGATGCTGTGACCCTTTAATACAGTTCCTCACTGTGTGGTGACCCCCCCGCCCCAGCTATAAAACTTTTGTTGCTACTTCATAACTGTAATTTTGCTGTTATGAACCATACTGTAAATATCTGATATATCAGCAGGATATCTGATGTGACCCGTGCGTGCATGCACACACACACACACAAACACAGGTTGGGAAGAGGAGAGGAAATAGTGAGAAGGACAGAGAGGGAGCTGGCCACCATTCTGTTCGAGGCCACACCCCAAAATGACCACCTGTTCCCACCTCCTGGAGGTTCTGCCACCTCCCAATGGTACCACAGGCTGGTGAGCAAGTTAGAGCATCCAGGCCTTCGGGGGATACTGGCTCTCCAAACTGTACCAGCCTGTTTTAGTGTTCTGCTTTGGTTTTTGATTTATATATTTGCGTGTATGTCTATGGGTGTTGCCTACATGCATCCTGCACACCACACAGAGGTCTGATCCCCTGGAACTGGAGTTATGGATCTCTGTGAGCCACCATGTGTGCACTAAGAACCATACCTAGGTCCTCTGCAGGAGCAGCAAATGCTGCTAACCTCTGAGCTGAGTTTGCAGACGATTGTGGGCATGAGACACTATGGCTAAGTAGGAATTTAGAACATAGTCGTTGGTACTTTCCCACTCCGAGCATCACACGGGGGCTGCTGACACTCCTTTAGTGACCAGGGAGTGGGCTAGGGGTTATTTTTTAATCAAAGCATAATTTCAAGTATGCACACCTAAGCACCTGCTGCCACCTGGTGGCAGTATCCCAGAATTGCAGGGCCTTTTGATGGACCAAGATTCAGTTTGTCTTGGATTTTATAGGTTCAGTTTGTTGTCGAAATGCATTAAAGATGGTTGAAACTTACAGTATGGCCAGTGTAAGTATTCTGATATAGGAAGCATATGTCAAATTCTTAGTTTCAGCTAATGGACTTCTACACATAAAAGATGTAAGGCAGAAGAGGAAGACGTGTTGTGTGTGATTGATTTCAGGGACTCTGTGGCACATTGTGGATCTGAAACCAACCTGGCAGAATCTCTTGCGTGTGTGACTTGGGCAGGAGAGCAGCCTTCTTTAGCCCACAGAATTAGGATGTGCTGGGATAAATCTTTCCTATTTGAATTTAACTCTGAGGTTCACTGTTCATACTGGGGTGTTTTTGTTTGTTTGTTTGTTTGTTTTGTTTTGTTTTTGAGACAGGGTTTTCTCTTTTTTTTTAAGATTTATTTATTTATTATATGTAAGTACACTGTAGTTGTCTTCAGACACCCATATGAGGGCATCAGATCTCATTGTAGATGGTTGTGAGCCACCATGTGGTTGCTGGGATTTGAACTCATGACCTCTAGGAGAGCAGTCAGTGCTCTTAACCACTGAGCCATCTCACCAGCCCAAGGTTTTCTTTTTTATCTCTGGCTGTATTAGAACTTGCTCTGTAGACCAAGCTAGCCTCAAACTCAGAAATCCACCTGCCTCTTCCTCATGCATATTGGGATTAAGGCATGTACCACTGCCACCTGGCATTCATAGATTCTAAAATCAGGTTTTTAATGATTAAGATCACAAAGATCATTTTTGCCTGAAAGTAACCCCAGAAAACTCACACACTAGCAGGTGTGATAGCTTGGTTTGCTGTTAGGAACGTAGCCGACTTTGATGCTCTGGCATGCAGTGGAGTGAGGGCCCAGGACTGTGCCATGGCCCAGGCGGTCCTCGACTTTCAGCCCATGATCTTCTGGTGGTTTGGAGAAAGGATGATTACAGAAAGATCAGTCACTTGTTTCTATAAATGTTTCATAATGCAAATTGAATGTGATGAAATATTAAAAATATCATTCATTAATGATTGAAAAGTTCACCCTCTGGAAATGGCCATATCTCTCATTATACTGCCAACTTAAAGGAGCAATTGAGAAATTTTGAATTATAAAATTAGAATCCTGGGATGGTGGTGAAATGAATCGCCACAAAGTTATTTTCCCCTCTGAAATTTGTTAAGCATTTTCAGCTGTAGCCTTTCTGTTATGGTGAGCTTGCCCATTCTGTGGTAGGACAGTGTGGGTGCCCCACACCTCGCTTTGCTTACTGTTTTTACATCCCCATGGTGCTGGAGAAAACAAGGTGATGTCATGTTAAACTAAGAGTTTTACGGACCCAAATGTTGGAATAAAATTCTATTTTATTTTTATTATGCTTGTAATTTTATTAGTAGAACAAAGCATCGATACAAGTTTGTATCAAATGTTGCTATTAGTAAGAAGCTGAATTAACAGTTTGCCTTATAAAATGAAAGATTGGGGCGGGGTTCAGTGGTGTGCAGCTGTGGTCCCGGCAGTTTGGGAGGTGGAAGCTGGAAGATTGAATTTGAAGCCAGTCTGGGCTATATAGCTTGGAGAGAAAGAGGGGGGATGAGGGAGGGAGGGAGGGGGAGAGACAGACAGACAGACAGACAGACAGAAAGAAAGAACCATAAAACTAGAGGCTAGTGAGATGTGTCTGAGTCTTCAGAGTTTGTGGGTGATTTGCAGTTGCCTCAGACTGATCCCCCCAGTTGTCCCAGCTTCCTTCCTAGTATGGTTCATGTAAAAAGATACTGGGATCTCACCAGTGAGTGAATTGCCAGTCTCCCATTGCATAGCAGAAGTGCCCTCTGTTGTATGAACCCTTTGACAGAAGGCTGGCCCATGCTGCTTGTGAGCTTTACTGTAGACTCCAGCAGGCATCCCTGCCACTATGCCACCCCATCCTGCTGCCGCTGTGGGGACAAAGGGTAGGACTGCTGACCCTCCTGAGTCTGCTGTGTCAGAGCTCATATCCCAGGAGTCTCTTGTGGATGGAAGGGGTCAATTTCTGTCTTCATGATCAGGGTTAGATTTTACGCGGGGCATTCCTGTAATCAAACCACAGTTCGCCGCCTTTTTCAGGTGATCAGTCTCTGAGCCTTCATTGAGCCCTCATCGGTGTGTGTGCCTCTGGCTTTGCTTTCGTGTGAGCCCTCATTGGTGTGTGTGCCTCTGGCTTTGCTTTCGTGTGAGCCCTCATCGGTGTGTGTGCCTCTGGCTTTGCTTTCGTGTGAGCCCTCATCGGTGTGTGTGCCTCTGGCTTTGCTTTCGTGTGTGGACCTGCACTTGTGCGGAAGCCAGGCGACACACGTCTTCAAAGGCAGTAGAGCGCTGAAGCAGTGATCGGAATCTTACCCGTGTTTCCCTTTTTCTCCCAATGCAGTTAACAAGCACAAGCCATGGCTGGAGCCCACCTACCACGGGATAGTCACCGAGAATGACAACACCGTGCTGCTCGACCCCCCCCTCATCGCCCTGGATAAAGATTCACCGCTACGTTTTGCAGGTACGGGGTCCTCAAGCCTGGCCTGGGTGGGAAGCAACTTAAGTCTGGCTGGATGGCTGGGCCTCTCAGGAAGCGTTCTGGTAGCTGAGAGCTGCCTGTGGCTCCAGGCACCACATGTTCCTGTAATAGTCGGTAGCCGACACTAAGCCGTTCTGCTGGTCAGAGGGGGAAATACTTAATTGCATCATTATGTGCTCTGCCTTGTGCAGATAGGCACATACTGTCTAGACACACTCAGCGCAGACGGCGCACGCACGGACTGTGTGATCACTGCTCAGGATGGAGTTGGTGTGGTGGGCCTGGGGACCTGCGCTCTGCCCATTCACTTCCGTCTGGGTGTTCAAACACCTGTTTCACGTCACTCCAGCAACTCTTAGTTCCTTCCGTTCACTTGCACAGACTTCAGAAACCCTTGAGCAGTCTTTGTGAGGGAATGACTTTCGACCTAGATTTACTTTTTTATTCCATATTTAAATTTTACTTGATGAACTCTTTCTCTATAGTTTTACTTACGTGTGTGAGTGTTTTGCCTGCATGAGGGTATGCACGCCATGTGAATGTCTGGTGTCCACAGAGGTCAGAAGAGAGCATCAGATCCCATGGAACCCAAGCCGTGGATACTGGGAGTCAAACCCAGGTCCTCTGTGAAAGCAGCAAGTGCTCTTAACCACTGAGCTATCTCTCCAGTCTCTCTGTCTGTGGTTTAAAGTCATGTATGTGTTGTGTTATTTAAGGCGTGTACACTGCATGCAGAGCACACTGTCAGTTTGTATTTGTTTCCTTATACAGGCATGTACCACCATGCCCGATTTAATGAATTTACTTTTTTTTTTCCTTTTTGTGTGTATGGGTGTTTTGCCTGCATGTGCCTGTGCACCATGTGCTTGCAGTACCCAAAGAGACCAGAAGAGGGCATCAGATTTCCTGGAACCGGAGTTACTGGTCACGTGTGACCTTGTGGGTGCTGGGAAACAAAGCCTGGCCCTCTGGGAGAGCAGCCAGTGCTCTAACCACTGAGTCATCTCTTCAACCCCTTGTTTGTTTGTTGAGACAAAGTTTTTGCTATGTTAATGCTAGCTGGCATCAAACTTGTCATCCTTCTGCCTCAGCCTTCTGAGGGCTGAGGTGACAGGTATGGACCACAACGCCTGGCTTAATAAAGTTATTAAATGTTTGATATGAGTCATTTTATAAGATTATACCCTGTGTCTTTGTGGAGGGAAACCTGTAGGACAGTGTCATAGATTTTGATCATGGGGGGAATTTCCTACATCACTGACATTTACTGGTACTTGCCAGTCAGATCTGCCCTGACTGCCGGAGGGCCGTGCTTTCTCAGTCCCAGAGTTAGAGTAAACACTGGTATTACACACACGTGTGTGTGTCTGTGTCCAGCTTTTACAGTTTTCTTTCTATTGTTTTTTTTTTTAAGTCTTTTAGTTTTTTAAAGTTTATGAATGTGTTTTGCCTGCATGTGTGCAAGTGTGTTAGGAGTCAGAAGAGGCCATCAGATCCCCTGTTGTGAGCTGTCATGTGAGTGCTGTGAGTCGACCCAGGTTCTCTGCAGGAGCAACAGGTGCTCTTAACCAGTGAGCCATCTGTCCAGCCTGGGTCCAGCCTGGGTCCAGCCTTTTATGTGGGTTCTGGGAATCCAAACCTCAGGTTGTTAGCCTTTGCCAGGCTCTATACCCATGGAACCATTCCTCAGCCCAAAACAACTTTTTATTTTTGAGAGAGGATTTTTTTGGGTTCCGAGACAGGGTTTCTCTGTGCAGCCCTGGCTGTCCTGGAACTCACTCTGTAGACCAGGCTAGCCTTGAACTCTCGAACTCAGAAATCCGCCTGCCTCTGCCTCCCAAGTGCTGGGATTAAAGGCGTGCGCCACCACCGCCCGGCGAGAGAGGATTTATTTTGACTCATTTTTAAAAAAGATCAATTATTGTTACCTTTGCTACACACACAAACACACGTGTGCGTGCACACACATGAACATACTGTACATAAACATACAAACATACACTGCACACAGCACACACACCACTAGTACACATGCACACACACACACACACACACAGAGTGCAGATAGCTGCAGAGGCCAGGAGAGGGCCTTGAACTTTGAAGCTAGCTCTAAGTGTCCAGCTCCACTGTGTTTTTTTATTTTGTAAGTAGTTCTCATTACCCTTTCTGTGTGACATTTAAAGCTACGTCACAGTTTTAGTGGGGTTGCGGAGGATATGTTGCCAGTGGATTTATATGTATTTATGTACATTCCTGCATTTTAAGAACTGATTCAGAGGCTTGGGGAGACGCCTCAATGGTTAAGAACACCCGCTGCCCTTGTGGAGGAACAAGGTTCAACTCCCAGCACCCACATGGTGGCTCAGAACTGTAACTCTAGTTCCAGCGAATACGGTGCCCTCTCCTGACTTCTGTGGGCACCAGACATGCATGTGGTGGTGCGCAGACATACATGGAGGCAAAACACACTCTTACACGTAAAAATAAAATGTTTTGAATAGAATAAGTGTTTTAAAAAGACAGTAGTAACTCAGGCTGGGAGTATGCTTGCCCAGCTGCATGAGCCTTGAGTTCAGAGCCAGTCCATGTAACGTGTCGAGGCGGTGTGTGTCTTTAGTCCCCTCAGCATTTGTGAGGTGGAAGCGGAGGGATTAAACAGGCTCATCCTCTGCGACGTGGTCAGTTTGAGGAAGACCAGCCTGAGCAACATGAGACCCTCTCTTGAAAAACAAGGAGGCAAAGAAGTAACTGTGGTCCAGGATCACTGCCGCCGGCCTTGATTTACCAAGCCCCAGCTGTGTGCAGTCTGTGGCGCCCGGAACCCACTCCAGAGCTAACAGTGCATTTGCTCCTAAGCATGGAGAATAGATTCCAGGCGCTTTTCCAAGTGCTTTATAAATAAAAAATTGTATTTAATTCTCCATCACCTAAAGTAAGAATGCTCTCTGCCAGCCCCCGTTTAAAGAGACTTTAAACAGGGTTAGTGGCTTAGTGGTTAAGAGCACTGGCTGCTCTTCAGAGGACCAAAGTCTGTCCTCAGGCATCCACATGGTGGCTCATGAACACCGTCTATAACTCCAGTCCCTAGGGATCTGATGCTCTCTCTCAGCCTCTGCGGGCACCAGGCACGCATATGGTGCATTGACATATATGCAAAGAAACAATCACATATAGATAAAAATAAAGTACTATTTTTGTTTATTGAGACAGGGTTTCTCTGTGTAGCCCTGGCTGTCCTGGAACTCTTCTGTAGACCAGGCTGGCCTCGAACTCAGAGATCCGCCTGCCACCTGAGAGCTGGGATTACAGGTGTGTGCCACCACTGCCTGCTTTATCAGTTTCATCACCTATAAAAAGAAATTCAATGCCCTTGCTAGGGCTTGGGGCTATTTGTTTGTCTGTGTGAGCTGAAGAACTTAAGTTCACTCCTGAGGACCAGGGATGTCGTTTAGTGGTAGAGCACCTGCCTACCATGCATAAGGCTGTGGGTTCAAGGCCCACCCTCAGTAATCCTAATTAAAAAAAATAAATAAAAACTTCATCCAAAGGAGTAAAGCAGCGCTTGGGTCAGAGGTTGGTATGGAATATCTGCCATTTCAGGAGAAACAACAGAATTCTTTTTTTTTTTTTTTTGGTTTTTTTGAGACAGGGTTTCTCTGTGTAGTTCTGGCTGTCCTGGAACTTACTCTGTAGACCAGGCTGGCCTCGAACTCAGAAATCCGCCTGCCTCTGCCTCCCAAGTGCTGGGATTAAAGGCGTGCGCCACCACAGCCCGGCTGAGAAACAACAGAATTATACGTAACATATTTAAAGATATGTTTTGATGGGCCAGCAAGATGGTTTGTTGGGTAAAGGCTCCTACTACCAAGCTGGACCCCTGATCCCGGGAGGAAGGAAAAAACAGCCTTTTATAAGCTGCCCTCCCCCTGCAATAGATTAAAAGAATTTTTTCAGTTTAGTTTTGTTTCGTTTTGCTTTGGTTTTTCATTGACAGGGTCTTACTACTTAGCCCTGGCTGTCCTAGAACTCACTCTGTAGATCAGGCTGGCCTCAAACTCAGAAATCCACCTGCCTCTGCCTCCTGAGTGCTAGGATTAAAGACATGAGCCACTATACCCAGCAATAAATGTCATTTTTAAGGATGTTAATGTATATCCTTAAATTTAATATTTTGTGGGAAATATGTGTCTATCTTTTTACATAAGTTGTTATTTAATTCCCTCACACTTCAGATTATTTTTGTGTTGAGCAAGGCTTATTCTGGAGACTTATTCTGAGGTTGTTTTTGCAGTGGTACTGCGTCTGCTGTGGTGACAAGATTGGAGATGGCTTGTGGGATGTCAGTGAACTAACATTGTCCTTGCTTGTCCTGGCTTCTTTGTGGCCACCTGTCCTTGACTTCCAGTGTCACTGCACTATCCCTGTGGGGGGTGGGGGCGGGGAACCTGGTCCAGAGCATGTCAGCTGCATGCCATCGGGAATGGTGATCTCTCCCTAGTACCCTGGGTAGTTCAGTGCTTGGGGCACGCCGGCACTCTATACCTGTGTGTGGAAGGACAGATGGGTTTGTCTCAGGCCACACGCTTTACTGAATGTGCTGCCTTTGAGCTGGGCCCTCTGGCTGCGGCACTCTAAGACGTGACATTTCTAAGTTGAGAACAGTCTGATTTGTGTGTAGGTAAGCACTGAGCTCGCTTGACAGAGCTCTGAAGCAGGCACATTTGTGGTGCTGAGCATTCTGTCCCTGACGCCCAATGTCAGACTCTTAGGGAACACACGGCCAAGTCTGGATTGTTTTCTTGGAGGGAAGTAGATTGGTGTGATGTAAGAAAATGCGCCAGGGAGTTTGTTAAGGGTGTCTGCTGCATGTGTCCATCTTCACAGGCGAGACACAATGACTCCCTTGTCTGCCTTCATTCCTATGTTTTTTTCAAGATGGAGGATGATGATGATGATGATGTTTCTGGCTGTTCTCAAGTCTC